GGAGGATGGAGGAAGCCCAGGTGGTGGGGGATGGGAAGGGGAGGGAAGGCAAAGGAATGAGGGGGAAGAACATAACTGATATAGGGAATAGCATGAGAAAGGCCAGCCATCTTTGGGATGGGTTCCATTCACCATAACGTTAACAAAGGAAGCATTTACAAATGGATTAACTGCTTCCATTCCTAATGAAAGAGGATCTTAAATGAGCAGGACTGTGAATTTCTACTATAAGATATTACTACCTGTTAACATTAAACAGTACCAGATGTTAGACCTCTAAAAAAGAATTTAGAGCCAAGACTCAAATACAAACAAAAGTTTATTTAGAAATTTAAAGAGGTAGAAGAAGTGAGTTGTGACAGAGGCAAAAGAAGGCCACTTTGAGTTTAGAAGAAAGAAAGCAAAGGTAGACATTTCTTGAGGAAAAAAAGGGAGGAAAGGCGGCATGGGAGAGAGAGAGAGAGAGAGAGAGAGAGAGAGAGAGAAACACTGGGAAAGAAGAGGGGGAAAGGCATGGGTGTGCTCCAGAGAGGGGGAGTCATGTTGGGTCCTTCCTCTGAAGGGCTTTTTTCTGGAGGCTTCAGGGGAGGATCTCAATAGAATATTCATCAGCTTTCCAGGTGTTCCCCTCAGGCCCTGTTCTCCACTGATGGGTGGTGTCAGGGCAGGAGGTCATTAGTCTATGCTTAGCCCTGCCTGGCCTTGCTGCTTTTCTGGGCCTAGAGCTGAAACACAGCTGAGGCCTAGATTTTATCTCTAGTTGGACCAACTCTCTGTCTCTGTGGTCACCAGGCTGGAGGCTTTGTTTCTAAGGTTGTTTGATGTGGGCCAGAACCTAATTGTCCTTAGGGCCTAATGCTTAAGGCAGTGGTTGTGTAAGGGCTTGTATGGAAGTCCTATGAGGCTATTCTCTCCCCTGTTCTTCTAAGGAGTCTACTACATGACTAGTGACGTGCCCGGGGAGGAAAGATCAGGGGAGGATCTGAACCACATGACCAGTGATATGAAAGGTCAGGGGAGGATCTGAACTGAATGTCCAGTGATATGAAAGGTCAGGGGATCTAAGCCACAAGACCAGGGATGTGCTAGGGGAGGAAAGGTCAAGTGGGGGTGGGAGTGAGGTGGGGGAGGTCCCAGCCCAGTTTTGCCTGTTGCTAGGCACCCAGGACTTTCCACCCTGATGACCTTCTGTACCTGGCCTGTTGTTTCTACTCTGCTCCTGTTTGTCTAACTGCCTAGTATATTACCACCCTCCCCAGCAAAGCTTCAGGGAAGTTTATCTTCTCTCTGAAATTAATAAGTGGTAAATATATTTTTAAAAAACCGGCAAGTTTCATAAATTATGCTAAGCTGAGGACTAGTTTTTGTTACTTGATTCAAATTATTATGTCTTATCCTTAAACTGTTTATGTGGCATCAATGAATGTAATCATTTGAAAACTCTCATTTTGTTTTTCATATAAATCTTACTATCTGATAAATCTTGTAGCTATAAATATTCTGCTTAATTAGCTTATTGTAAGTTCATTGCTTTTTTTCACTTTTAGTTGACTACAGAAAATAGATTACTTAGTGCAAATTACAGATCATTAAACTTTGTAAAGCTCTAAACATTATATCTATACTAGTGACCTTGTGCACGCATTTGTGTACATTGAAAGGAAATTAATTAGAAGGTGGCTGGCAGGATGGGACTGGGCGAGACGGGCCAGACACACCCTGGAGCCAACCTCCCACGGTCCCTCCCCAGCATCTGTGGAGTGAGCGGGGTCTTTCCAGCAGATGGGGTACCTTGGCCTGGCCTGCGGGGATCAGGCCAAAACGTCTCTCCTACGTCCCCCAAGGGGTCCTGGAGTGCAAGAGGGTACTCTGCAAAGTAGCTGTCATACAGGGTGTGGAACACAAATGCACAGGTGCAGTAAACCAGATTTGGGGTCATCAGTGCCCAGCAACAACATAACCCACGGCCAAAGGTGGAATTGTGCAGCCCCTCGAGAATTCGGGCTCCCTCCTCTCTGGTTTCAGGGTGTATCACCCAAGAACAGTCGTTGCCAAGTCACTGCAGCTTGGCAGCTCCAACATTGAGCATCTGCCCCTGGTGGTCAGTGTACATCATAGTGACCAGTTGGACAGTAGGAGGGACACTTAGCATATTAGCCTTTCATATATATCCTATATAATAAAAGCCTAATAGGCAAACTGACTGAAAGGGGTAATGACCAGTGGAACAACTGGTGGAACGACCAGTCACTATGATGCACACTGACCACCAGGGGGCAGACGCTTAACACAGGAGCTGCCCCCAGCACACAGGCCCCAGGCCAGCCAAGGTTGGTGCCAGCGGGGACCCTGATCACTGTGCTGGTCACCTCACAGATTGGCCCTGATTGCCGGCCAGGCATAGGGACCCTGCCAATGCACAAATTTCATGCATCGGGCCTCTAGTCCTATCTAATAATAGAGAAACATGGTAATTAGCTGTGCCTCCACTTCCCTTCCCATTGGCTAATCAGGGCGATATGCAAATTAACTGCCAACCAAGATGGCGGCCGACAGCCAGGCAGCTTGAAGCGAACAGGAGGCTTGCTTGCTTCAGTGACAGAGGAAACCAACAT